CCTGGACAAGGGATCTATGTCAAGGCTGGCTGAACAGGATACCTGAACACTGGCCACCAACCACAAAAAGAAATCTCTCATATCATCTGGTAAGGAGTTCATATTACTCTGTATGCAGAAGATACAGCGACATTATTAAGGTACACATCTATGCCCAATGCCAAGAGCAGGAAATACTTCCTCTCTTACTCCATCCAGACCTGCAGAGGAATTTTAAAAAAGAAAAAAAAAGAAAAAGAGAAAAAAATGAAAAACCATAGGGAAAAGGCCTGACCTTGCTGCTCTTTACAGCCTGGTGGGGAAGGAAGGGTGGCAGGAAAGGAAGAATCCTGAGTTCTGCTAGTGTGTTCAGTTCACATTCTTTTGAAAAAGACTTCAAAGTCCACCCAATACTTAAAATAAGATGGGAAGTAGTGGGACTAACCTGGAGGAGTTTACAGGCAGAAGCAGGGGAGAAAACAAACAACAGAACTCTTGATTTTCAAGGTCCATCATGTGCTTTGGAATAGAATCTCTCTCTGCTACTCACACTGATCAGGCAGCCAAGGGACGCAGACACCCCACCCACAGTTAACTTAATTGGAATCAGACATCCAAATCCACTGGTTAGCTTTAAAAAAAAATATCCCAGGTTAGCCTGGGTGTTATTCCAAAAGGGCATGCCCTCCATTTGCTGCTGTGGAATAGCCAGCTTCACGTGGGTTTAACCAGGGGCAGCTCAAATGAAAGGAGAGCTGTTGACACTGTTTTTCGCCAAAGAAGGAGGAACAGATGTGCACAACTGCACCTCTTAAAAGTCCATGTGCCCAGCCAGACAGGAAACCAGCTAGTCCACAGACAAGGTACGCACAGTTTGCAGATACACTGACCGACTGGAGCAGAGATGCCAGAACCAGTTATCGGTCCTGCACTGTCCTCTGCTAGAGTACAATACATCTAATGAAAACATCGGTATTCAGCATCACCATCTGACTATCAAACAAAAGGCTTCCCTCACCAAATAAAGACCTTTTGCTATTTTGTGACCAAATGGTCACCAGAATATTGTACCCAACCCACGTAGCTTAGATCCTAAATTAAAATATGCAATCTTGACAACAACCACCTCTGCTCTGGGTCATCAGCAGACAGGACACTGGACATCCAGCACCCAGCCCACGCCACCAAGCTACAGGAGCAGCTCCAGTAGCTAGCAGCAATAGTTGGCTTCCCCTTTTTATTTAACAGCTGCTGAAGAGAATGCATAGAGACTATAGTCAGCAGGTCACATACATAATGCTAATGAATGCCGCCGAATGCTAGTAGTTCCAGCTTGTTGACTTGCCGGAGCAATTCCCAACCATACGCATTATGCCCCTGTGGTAAGTGCCGGGAAGAACAGGCACCTTGGTCCCATCCTGGAGGAACCTGAGCACAAAATACAAATCAGTGGGTAGCCTCGATAACCGTAAACTTGGACTGAAGTTTTATCTGTCTCTGTTTCATACATAGCTTTGCACAACAAAGCATCCAAATTTCTATACCAGTAAGTCACACAAAGATATTTTCATGGCCAAGGAGCTTCTTCATGGACTGAAGCTGCTATCCTTTTGCTCTTCAGGTTTGTTTTTTGTTTTTTAAATAAATCCCCAAGGCAGGGGGGTGAGGGTAGAAATTGCTTACATTTGAAAATATCTAATGAACATGCTAAATTTGATAAAGCTTCTCCAACCTACTATAGCAGGTAATGTCAGAACTGACAGGCTGTGTATATTAAAAAGTCAAATTATTGTAGTCTTCAGTATTCAAAAGGGGGTACAAAACTACTACCTCCCGCCCCCCCCCGTCACTGCTGTTTTTTAAGGATTTTTAAGTCAGCAGAGTTATAAATGATCAACTGTTACAGAGTGCCTTCCAGCACTTGGAAGCAAGACAGATTTTTATCAAGGAACAGCAGCCGCAAGAAAGCATACGTATATTCTTTTCATCTCGCTGTTAGCCATATAGCAGAACCTCAACAAGTTAAACCCCTGCAGCAAATTTCCTAAAACAATGGCTTCAAGTCATCCTGGACTTCACAAGGAGAGCAGGATTACCCATCATGGCGTAATCCACTGGAGGCAATCACCGAGGATTTTCTGCGAGGGTCATTCTAAAAAAATCAGGGAAGAATGCTCTGCTGTTACAACCTGCCACTTCTTGCTCAGTAACCAATTTGCATCACCAGAGAGGTGTCAAATCATGGAGATGCAGTTAAAAAAGCCCAGAAGAAAGCATTTTACTGGGCTACGGTTTGAAAGGAGAAGACTAGCCAATTAAAGCGAATCAGAAGCGGAGAAGGAATGAGCACAAATTATTGTGCGCACACGAATAAGTGAATGTGACCCCGCAGACCACAGCAAGCATGTGATCTGGCAAAGGAGGCAAATGCAGCCTGAGAACCAGCGCCGCCGCTGCCCACTGAAGAGTTAATCGTGCCGAGGCAGGTCAAAAGGGCTCCGAAGGAAGGGGATGGATGGAGGGAAGCGCTGCCAGAAGGTCTGCCTGCACAAGAAGGGGGAAGGCACCCACAGCCTTGCTTCCACTTTAGCACCCAGTCACCGTCAGGGTGGAAAGCCAGGAAGACCACTGAAAAAAGCTCAATCTGCATTTTGCTAAACACACCAGGAAGGAAGACTACTTGGGGGAAAAAAAATTTCCCCTCGAACCTAGAGAGAGACAGAGACATTTCATTAAATGTCATTAATCTCCACAGACCCAAGCATTAGCTAGTAAATTAGACTAAAGTACAGTCACATTTTAACATTGAGCATTCGGTATTCAACTGGGATAAATGAACAACTGAAGTCCAAAACCTTAATTCGGTATCTAATTAGAAAACAGACAACAAAAAAATCAAGATTATGAAACGCAGCCCAGAATAATACGTCATAATTGATGTAAAATCTGTTCTTTATTGCATCTGATTTTCTCCAATTTCCTGATAAGGCTCCTTTCAATCTTAAGATTTTTTTCAAGTGCGCTGTAGAAATCCCAACACTTTAGAAAGGACAAGTGTGTAAAAAGCAGAAACAGACACTGCCGATCTCTCCAGAGAGAGCAAGTTCCTGCTAAGAGTGGCATCCAGTGTACGTTCCAGGATTTGCCCCACACTTGAAAGACGTCTGTTACCAAAAACAAACAAACAAAAAACAAAACAAAAAAAACCCACCCCACACCCCACATGGAGAAAAACAAAATCCCCTTTGTAAAAATGACCTGATTTCGCATTCTTTAACATGAAAATTTCATTCACTAATATCCTCGGCATAAGACATGCCCTGTTTTTTTTTAATTGTTATAGAAGGAATCACATGGGACAGCTTAACAGCTCTGTTGTAAGCATTATAAACTTTTACAAATAACACTGTAGAAACAGATAACTGGTAATTGAAGACAGTTTAAAATGTAAATAAGCCTTTAAAAGGTATTGGGAAGGGAGAATGGAACATCAGTCACAGTGCAAGATCATCTTCATACTTTAATTATGAAACCTGTCAAAATTCTGATAGCTTTAAATTATATCTCAAAGACAGCATTAATCCAACAATATAATCCAGAAGCCACAAATGCTACAAACCATAAACTCTTTGCTTAGCGCAGAAGCAAGCCGGCACACCATTATTCACTAATTAGTTATTAGACATGTCCTATGAAGAAAAGAACCTCTAAATATTTGACTACATTAGTTTGGTTTAAAATTCTGCAAGCAGGCTGTTGGGTTTTGTTCTCTTTTTTTCTTTTAAAGAAATCACTAGCACCTCTCCTGCTATATGCCTAGGGTTTTTAAATTACACGTCATTTTTCCTAGATGAATGTTTTGTGCAATATTTAACATTATGGTTCCACACGCCATTAAACTGCTTGCTTTCATGAGGAGCTATATGCAATAAAGTGGTTAGGCTGAACCTGTTCAGGTAGTCTCCTGCCACCAACTTTAAACCACTTTTCCTTATTGACTTGCATTCACAACTTTGCAGCCTTGTCTTTCCATTTTTTTAACAAAATACTGAGGTAACCCAAGATGATTAGAGCGTACACAAGTGGCATACACCAGCTAAATTAAGTTCTTCCAGTAGACTCTCAAAAACAAGTAAAAAAAGAAAAACGTCAATTACAAGTTTTCTTTCAGCCTCTGTTTTTCAAAATTGAAATACAACTGACTGCACATTTGGATTTGAAACTGATCTGTTGTTTTCGTTAGGCACAGCCTAAAGAGCAACAACCGCTTCTATTCCATAAGCAACTCCTCCAGAAGAAAAAGCACCCAGCGATATTTCAGAGCAAGCATGCAGACAGAAGTTCCTGGGCACATAGCTACAGCGTCTTTGTCCCAACATGGAAACTGGCCACACTATAGCGAGAGTGCCCTGGAAGAAGAAGGTCACTTCTCCAGCCAGCCTGATCGGCTAAGGGAATTAAAGCTCATTGTTTCACTGCTCTTGCAAAAGAATACCCCATGGCCTGAAGAGTTCAGAGCTTCATCAGAAACTTGCTATCCAATGCTTATTAGTCTCCAAACACATCTCTGAAGTTATACAAAAGAAAATTTGCAAACAATGAAGGCAGAGATATATTCCCATCCATCACAACCACAGAACTGAAAGCTCAGCTCAAAACAAGCCTGAAGTCTGCACTTAATCCAAACGCTCTTCATAAACACCATGCAAAACATATTGCGTAAAATAGCATAACAAACGCAAGTAATGCAGCAACAATCTCCCACCAGAACTAGAGAAGTCTTTGCCTTTCAGCCAGCCGCAACTGACCGGGGCTCTGCAAGGAGACAGTTAAACTGGAGACACGTAATATCGCACAAAGCAGCTCTCCTGTAGTTTCACAGCCATACGCTGATACCCTTAAGACGCCATGCACTCCGGCTTTAAAAGCTTTCATTGCCAATTCCCTGTTTGAAACCTGAACTGCCTGGCAACAATGATTCTCTGTGTGCCTAAAATCCTATTATCGATCCTCCTACTTACCTTAGGCTGTGCTCGTCGGGGAAATGCAACTTTAGGGTCAATCTGAGGAAAAAGAAAGGGGAAATCAACAAGATAGCTTTTGTTGTCAATTTATATACTTTTTTTTTTAAATCACTGAATTATTAATCCCTCATTTCTCAGGCTTATAATTCAGCACATCGGGTTATCTAGATCTACTCTGGAACTGATGGATCACAGTCTGGGGGGTTTTTGGCAGGGGGAGGGAGACAGGAAGAAAGAAAGAAAACATCTCTTCTGTACACCTCCTGCATCATCTTCTGGGCGACAATCTCCGCTGGTGCTCAGGGAGCTCTGTATTAGCCTCTGGATGCTGCCTCTACAACCAAAACTGCACGTGAAATGTTATCTGCACACTCTGGAGGTTGCACAGAAAGACGGCCAGCATCCCTGATCAAGATCTTAACCTGTTGTTTTTGACACCTGCACCTTCCTTCAGTTGGGTTTTGGGTTACTTTGTTTTTCTTGTATTTTTCTGCTTTGTTTTGTCAACTGACTAGCAACGCTACACAAAAAAAGAAATGCAAAACACAAAGTCAAGTTATTTACATTTCAGTTATTAAAACTAAAACATTAGAAGGACTACAAGATTATCCTTCATAACAATATGCCAAATTGATCTGGTTTGCTCACCCTCAAAGAACATATGTGAGCAATGAAAGACTACAAAGGGGTGTTTATGGGAAGGGGGGGGTAAGAGGGGAAAGCAAGGCACAAACGAAACATGCAGGCATTTTAAACGAGAAGAAACCAAGTTCTTAAAAAAGATTTTCCATGAAGGAGTTACCTAAAGTATTCTTGAATGAAGCACACCACCACGGGGGGGGGGGAAGTGTTTTACCCCATGCTCCCTTGTTTTAAGATGCAGCATTGACTCCCATTGCGCTGCATAAATTAGAAAGCATGTCCACTCTGCAATTCCAAAATGCTAATTCTGCAATTTTAAAAACAACTTCCACATGGGTCATCTTTAAAAAGCGACTCTTCTCTACCATTCAAAAAAATCACTTAACAACAAAATGACACCACCGCAGATGCATGGCTGGATGTAAATAAAAAAAATTGTACCTTTTAAACAACTGCCCATCTTAAATTGTCATCTTCAAAAATGATTCCAATAAAACGTCTACGCACTGCTGGTTTCACCTCTGTTTTTTAGCAGCATCTGCATGCAGACACGTTCTAGAGAGTCTGGAAAAGGATTTTTTTAAAGGACTAAATCCTACCTTAACTGTGCAACTTGCGACTGCTTTCAGTGTGGTCTTTGACTACATAACAAACTGACGACACTAATCCTGATCGTGTTAAGGCACATTTAGAAGTAGAGGCTTTCTTTAACAGCTTGGGTTTGGTTTTTGTTGGGTTTTTCCCCCCCTCAAGCTAACCCTGATTAGGAAAAGGAGATGTTTCCATTTGGTATTGTTATTCCTGTGGTGATAAATATTCCTGTCACTGATAAAAAAAACCACGGGCCTCTCCTAAAAAGCAGTTTTGCTCAATTAATTTGTCAAAATTGGAAATAACACAAACATTTTATGTGCGACTGATAAACTGATTTGTCTACGTCAGATACAAATGTAGTATCTTTTTTAGGACATACCTGAGAAATGAGCGATTACATGCCACTTTATTGTTCAAAAAGCATAAAAAGTAAAATTCTTTATCTAGAAAGCTAACCTTTTCATAGAGATTAACATTATCTACAAATATATTCAGCACTGACTAGGCATTTGTCTACTGGGGAAATACAACAGGTACGGATTTTCCACAGCAATACCCAAAGGTGGAGGCAGATAGGCACGTTTCTACATTTGCTTCAGAAGTGAAAGTTTTCTCAACAAAGAGCACCAGTCCCACCAGAAGGACATCGCCGCAAAGCCCCACTGGTAAAAAGTTGGAAGAGCCATTAAAAACTCTAAAGCAACACATTCATTTTTGAAGGTCAGTTCAAAGAGCACGGAGTTCTTTGCACCACAGCGACAGCCCTTCTTGAATAACTGAATTTTCCTTCACAAAACCTTTTGGATAAACACCATCAGCATTTGAAGATGAACACTAGCAATCAACATGGCAAATCCATACCTTTTGCATATCCCTGTCAACTATAAACAACAAACAAAAAAAAAACTTCTACCAAAAAAAAAATTAGTTAGTTAGGTACAATTCTACTTACTGTATCTACAAGTCCTCTAGGAAATGACTATAATACTATTTCTGATATGAATGGCCATTACCTAAACAAAGCTTTTAACGTAACTGTAAACAAGAGCGACGTTTCCATGCCAATACCCAACCGATCTGCCTCCTGTGCTGAACGTTGAAACAGAGTCAAATGCTATGTTATACTAAAGAACAGTTACTATAATATGTCTACAAATAAATGGCTGAAAGGGAACCTGGCTAGTTTTATGTTTTACTTTTAAGCTGCGTTGCTGATTCTAAGGTCGATTTCTTGTTTAGATTGATTCAGTCATTATCACACAATCAAAATTGAGGCAAATTTGTCCGGGTCAAGCTTTTCACCCCTCCCCCAGAGAAGAGCAAATTAATACATTGCAGGGACTAGACTGTGATACAGGAAAAAAGCTGGGGGAGGACCTAATTATAGTCAGAAATATGACAGGGTGTCCTCCCATGATTTATTTTTTTAAACCCTCGTTCAAGACACTGTTTGCCTTTGTTCTTCTTATCTAAATTTATCTTTAAAAACACACAGAGAATATAGCTGTACATGAAAAGTCTGGTGAGTTTAATCTCAGGAGCACAGTTGAATCAGTTATCTTACCATATCTGATTAAACCTAAAATCAAATTATTAAGGCATGTGAAAGCATGGACTACGTGTTCAGACAAGCCCAGCAGAATTTGTAGGTCGAATTAAAACACTAGATTCCACCTGCTTCTACGAGAGCTTTGGGCTTTTTGTTTTCATATAAATTACATTTAAAAAAAAAAAAAAAACCAACCCATACACTGATGTTTGCTCCCTGCTTCTTCTATTCTTCATTTAACTATAAACTCATACACACAGGCACACACAAGATGTTCCAGCACCGAGACAGGATTTCTCCTAACACCATGCTCACGTTAAAATAAAACCTTTAAGATCCAGAATACATACTATAAAGGACAGTTACAGCAACAAACACATTCGATACGTCCAGCAGAAGCTCTCTGCCAGACAGTTAAACCAACACGAAACCTTCCCTTCCCAAAACACGACCCCCTTCAGACCGATCAGTACCAAAGCAGTAATGACCTCTACCAGTGTCCTTCCCCCCCTCCCCTTCCAGGTTTGCTGAGGCTTAAAATTGCAACAAAGTAAGAGGCACGAAAACTTCACTCTTTTGCATGGCCTTGATCCCCGGGAGAAAAACAAGGCCTGAAGCTACACACGCTTGATACCTTTTGTTTGACCCAATACTGAAAACACCGTACCAGGTCAAGGGGCAAACTTACATGTGGGGGGATTTATTTAAAAAAAAAAAAAAGTAAATGTGATGTTTATTAAAAAAAAAAAAAAGATCAGCTGAATCTCATGAGCATTTTCCTTATGTTATCCACTGGAGACTGAGCGTAGCAAAAAGCCCTGGAGAAACAACAGATTAGGACTTGTGCTTCTCTGCCACATCTACTCTCAAGCTCTAGCATAGCTTTCCATAAATTAATGCGTACGTTTCATAAGGGCCCTGACATCACAGGTGAGGGGGATCTCGCCAAAAAATGACTTTGGGAAATGACACTGGAAGCAGCTTTTACGATTTGACAGTAAGTCACTCCCACCTTGAAACGCGCGCACCAATAAATAAATAATCAATCAAAAGAAGTAGAAAGTTCCCTGCAGAAAGGATTCTGCAGCGGAACACCAAAAAAAGTTGGATTTTACTCTACAATTTTTTCAATGTCACCGCTCAACAAAATACAAGGCTGGGGGAGGAGCCATCAGTCGGTATGGGTAAATTCGGGTTTAAAAAAAGAAAGTTACCGCTTTTCGTAAGTTAAAGGCAGACTCTAGGAAAAAAGGAAAAAAACAACCATGTGAAGTCCCGGTTCAATGACAGCTTGACACCGCCCCGCAAAAAACCAGCCGAAGTCGCAGCCGCGGCCAAGCGCGGG